AAGATAACTGTTAAATTTAAAACAAATATAGGCGAGACCCAGCCTCGAACAGTGCCGGTAAACTGCGGTTTACCGGAAAAAAAACTAGTGATTAGCGGTGACTTACCGCGGTTCATCGGACGAAACCACCGGTTTACCGCGGTTAACCCCGATTTACCGGACGAAACCGCCGGTTAACCCCGGTTTACCGGACGAAACCGCCGGTTTACCGCGGTTTTGGGAGCCGGTAACCGGTCCGGTAAAACCGCGGTTAACCGCCGGTTTTTGTCCGGTTTTCACCACATGGGTGAACTTGTGGCTGTCTCTTTTCAAGGTTCTCAAAATTGTACATCGGAAAGTATCATTAAAATTTTTGATCGTGCTGCAAATTATACTCGAGTCAAAAGTCAATCTGAACTATTACCAGTGATTGTTTTCGATGAAATAGGTCTTGCAGAACTTTCTCCGCATAATCCTTTGAAAGTCTTACATGCTGAACTTGAAATTGAAAATAATCGATATGGATTCGTTGGCATATCTAATTGGCGACTTGACGCTTCAAAAATGAATCGTACTCTGTATCTATCAACACCAGATCCGGATGTCAAAGATTTGATACTCACCGGCAAAACAATTTATGAGAGTATGCAGCGGCAATCGCAAGGACAAATTATCCAACTTGAACCAACTATTATCGAAAGTCTTTCTCAAGCTTATTTTGATCTTCATGAAAATTTGAAAGAAACGCAAGCGGATTATGAAAATTATTTTGGTCTTCGAGATTACTATTCATTGATCAAAGGCATTGTTCGTGATTCAATGATGATGAAAAATGAAACGAACATTTATGAAATTGTACGACGACAGCTAAAAGCTAATTTTGATGGTGTTCTTGATGGATCATCACTACTATGGCAACATTTTTGTCAATATATGAATAAACAAAATCTTTTTAATGAATATATTCGTCCGTCTTTCAATCTTCTTCTTGATCAAAGTCTTAATGCTCGCGGTGGTCGGTATTTGATGCTTATCGCTGATAGCGAAAGTGCAATCGACTACGTCGAAAGTTATATTCATATTCATCAACAAAAGCAAAATGTAGCAGTACGTACACTAATAGGTAGTTCATTTCTTGGTGATCTTATTGCCGGAAATATTTATGCCGAATAATATAACTATCGAGTTTTGATGGATGTTATTCTATATGCTGAAACAAATATTACTTTGATTATGCGCCAAATGGGTCACGTATATGATAATCTGTATGATCTTTTCAATCAAAATTTTGCAGTTTCGGCAAGAAAAAAATATTGCCGCATTGCTTTGGGTGTACTCTATCATCCACGTTGCCTTGTTCATGATGATTTTTATTGTGTAGTATTTATTCATAAACGAGATTTAGACAAATGCGATCCACCTTTTCTCAATCGTTTCGAAAAGCATTTAATCGATATTGAAGCATTGATTCATCCACGACATAAATCAGTCGCTCATGATTTACATATGTGGCTTAAAACATTACTACCTAAGAATCTTGGAAAACATTTTCCACTATTACAACATTTGTTTGTCGATTATAGACAAGATCAAATTTGTAATCTCGTAATTGAAACTTTTGAACAATTAAACATAGCTATAGATGATGAAGAAGCAGATAAAAGACATCAAGATGTTATTAATCATTGTCAAAGAAAGTTGCTTCGCACTGCTTCATTCGATTTACCTCTTGTTCTTTCTCTTCAACCAAACTTTGAACATCAAAATTTAATCGATCACTATTATGAAGTTCATGAATCAGTTAGTTTTGTAAAAAGTATCGAGACAGCACTTGATACTGAAACTAATATAATTCATCGTATTATTTATACATACACACAAAATTTTCATACGATTGATGGATTACCAGAGAGTGTTGAAGAAATAAAATTAAGTACGTTCAAAACAGAACTTGAACTAACAAATAAAATCAAACAACATTATCAATCATCGAGAAAGATTCGCCTTCTTTTGATTCGAGTTGATTATCATGATGAGCATCAACATATTCTTTCGTTGAAACATGTCTTACTTAACGAACATGTACAAACAAGTAATCGAGGTGTATGGTTAATATTTCATTAGCAACGAAATTTACTCAATCAAATTACGAATGATGTCTTATTTAGTAAATGGCATATTGATATGATTGATAATCTTAATTTGAATAATTTTATTCCAAAGAGTACACTTTCGAATCCTTCATATCGTGACCTAGTTATGAAACCACAGTATTCTCTCAGTGAATGTACATTTGATGATCTTGTCGATCGATGTCTATCAAAATTCCGCTATACTGTTCCACATAAGAATGATGAACGATTAATCAATACGAGACGTTATGAAATCTTGCAACAAATAACTCAACATAATAATAATTCGACATCGAATAACCTTCATCTACGTTCGATATTGGAAAAGAGTCTTATGATGTTAATTCAAAAGATTGAAACTTCTAATACTACACGGTTTATTGATTGGCGACTTGACCTTTTAACACATGGTAATACTATCGCTGGTTCTCGTTCGTTTTGTGATGCTTTTCAAACAACTATTTCAGCATTCTATGAAACATTTCTATTTCTTTTATTGGCTCATCTTGAAATGCATAATTTCATAAATATATACATTTTTATTTCATCTATTAATGATAGAAATGTTACAGAAAATTTATCCAAGCCTTGGAAAGACTGTTTAACAACAACATTGGAAAATATTGATTTGACAATAATGAATCGCGATATAATTGAAATTCCATTTTCGTCTGAACTTAAGTTACCATGTGGAGCTGTCGAATATGAAAACATTCGAACTATTCGAGAAAAAATTCGACAAATAGAAAATGATAATGAGTTTCTTGATCATTTCAATTTCGCTATCAACCAGATAAAATCTATAAGTATCTATGGTAAACATTTTATGGAATTTGTTTTCACTGATCGAAAATTCTTTGAAATTTATTTTCATGATCAAATCGCTCTACATCTGATGGAGACAAATATTAATCTTTCACCAAAATTTGTTTTTGATCTCCTGACAAGTAATCCAACTTATTCATCTCAACAATATGCACAATTATTTCTTGTACAACACGTCGAATTTACAGAAATTCTTCGCTTATTCGAAATAAGTATACAAATGATTAGTGAAGAAGAAATTTTTAATGAAATTCGAAAACAATTGATCGAAAATCTTACCGACAAGATCCGACTTTCGAAATTCTACTCACTTGTCATAGCTAATCACCAATTCTATCAGCTTCCGCCACAAACAACTATTATTGAAGATAAATGGATATTTAAATGTAAAGGTGACCCAATGATAGAAACTAGTTTAATGAATCTAATTGAATTGATTCTTTCATCATCAATTATCGATCGTACAAATAGTATTCAACAAGTTACAACTACTTATAGTTTAATAGCACAAGAGATTCGAGATTTACCATCTTATTGGGTCAATAATCTTGAAAAGCTTCGTTCATTCATTAGTCTTATTCGTTGTCTTAATACTTTGCTTCCTGACAAAGCTCTTAATGTTTTCAAAAGTGTGTGTAAGCAAGGTTTCGATGCTAAATTCGATTCATGTCAATCAATTCATCAATTTATTATTGGTTTGAAAAATTTGATAAAAGGTGAAGGAACGACTGCAAATGAAAATATTCTTCCTCGAACATTGATCAAACTCGAAGTCGAATTTTTGAAAGATTGGTTAACACACAATGGTGACTCATATGGTGATATTTTGCTTTTAATGAATAAGAATGATAATGACCTATGGTATTATTCAGCTAAGATCTTCACATATATTGATCGAAAACTTGACTTACTCTCAACATTAAAAGGAAATCATGGAAATCTACCATTGACAGAAAAATATGAACAATTTAATCGTTGTCTGGAGAAAGCAAACAATGCAACATGTAAAGTAGAAAAACTAGTGGTAAATAGACTTCATATGAGCTTGATGCGAGATGTTTGGTCAGATGAAATTGATCAACAACTAACTGAGTATTACCCATATTTCGAACAAAATTTATGGGACATTCAGAATATAAAGAAAGTAGAAAATTTAAAATTAATTTCAATGCTTGCTTGGCTAAAATACTACACTCAAATATATGCATTTGCCTTGAATGCTGATAGTCGACAAAATGTTCTTTCCAACATTGATAAATTACTTGTAAATATGGATACTCCTTTTTGTTCAACTTTGAAATTGTTCATTTTTAAACAAATGCTACAAATATCGGGACTAAATCTAAATGATACGCGTGATCTCTGCAGAAATCGTAACATTCTCTGGATTAAGCCTTTTATTCAACGTCCTCGAGATCAGCAAGCTCAAAATATTCGACGAACTCTCATTCTACCAACTCCACTTTTTGAATGTCATAACGAATTTAAACAAGTGAGTCAAATTCTGAATGAATTCGACAAGATGCAAGCATTGCGACAATTGATTGATCAGTGTAATACGTCACACAAGTTACATTAATCTTTTTGGT